TATACCCAATAACAATAGCGTTTTTGATAAAATTCAGAATGTTATATTTAATAGGATCATTCCATGTAAAATTATCCCTATTTCAGTAATGAGTTCTTGCTAAATTACTAAATTTCGTTATTCTGTTAAAAAATATTTTAAAAAGAAAAGATGCTGTAATTTTTGTCTATGGAAACCTTTTATTTATTTATTTTAAATAATTTTCATTTAAATATATGTTCTTCGATCTATAACAGAATCCACATAAATAAAAGTTTTAAAGCTTGCACAAATTTCACAAAAATTAATCAAGCTCTCGCTAAAAATTACTGTAGATTTTTTAGAATTTCGGGTGGAGAGTGTTGCTAATTTTCTTCCATATAACTCAGATCCCTATATATATGTATAACGCAGATTACCCACTTTCTAAATACCTTTTTAAAAATATTAACTAAAAATATTAATAAGAAATAAAGAAGATTTTAAATGCTTTGTTTTTATGTTCGGCTTCTGGATAAGTGGCAACATTTCGAAAAGATTTTTTGGTAAAGCTTTCTCAAACACAAAATAATTTTATTTGATTTCAATACTTTTAGTTTTTACTCAATTGACAATTGTCATTAGTAGCAAGTACCCTAAAAGCTCTTTGCTATCTTTCGGAAGACTAATTGAAAACTCTGCTAACGAGGAAGTCTTAGTGTTATTTTGTTTGTCCTTTAGCAACAAGTTTTCTAAAAATTTAATGAAATAAAAAAATATATACAATACATCTAAGTATATATTTTTTTACCAATAAAAAAAAAAAAATTTAAAGAAAAAGATTAAACAACTTCCTAAAAATTAAATGGAATAAAAAAAAATATTTTTTATTTTAAAATAGCATTATCTAAAAATTAGAAGAAAATTTAATTAGGAAAAGGAAGTTCTTAAAAATTAAATGAAATTCCCACACGAATACTAACGGAACACTGGACCATTGGCCGCATGGCTGCCAGGTTCGGAGCCCCTCATAACGATTTCCGTAGAAGCTGCAGGGATGTGGAGGAGTTAAAACCCGTCCACCACTTCCTTTGCGAGTGTCCAGCACTTCGAGGAAAACGCCTCAAGTTTCTTGGGGCCATTTCTTCGAGAACCTGGATATCTTGGGTAAGCTCCTCTGGAAGGACTGCTGGGATTCGTCAAAAAATCAAAATGATTCGAAGACATGTAGAGATAGGCTTTGGGTAACCCCTCATGGGCATCACAATGGGCCTTCGCGGTCTCCGAGTGAACTCTTTGCAGAGCTGCCCGTTTAACCTAACCTTAACCTAACCTAAATGAAATTACAAAAATATTTTTTTGTTTTAAAAACAAAATCTAAAAATTAATAGAAAATTAAATTACAGAGAAACAAAATTAATTAAAAAAGAAGCAAAAATCTTGTATCTAAAAATTAAATTAAATTAAAAAAAAAATAATTTTTATTTTAAAATAATAAAATCCAACGACTAAGAGATGTCGATTATTGCTCTTTCCATTGCCTCACTTATCGTTGGCAGTGATTTATCTGAATCTTTTTTTTAAACGTTTTGAATTTTATATATCTACCACTAACATTCTGAGGCGAGAAAATAGTACTTATGCCTCTGAGGACAGTGGCTCTGATAGTAATTTTTCTCACGGACTCTGTGCCTAAACCTGCGTTGAACTGTGATTGTCATGTTCTAGGAGTGCACTGCTTATTTCTTCCGACCGGATATTGCTTGAGGCCACTTCAATGTACAGGTACGATTTCTCAAATTTCCTTATTCTACATGAACCAATTCTAAACTCCGCATTTCTCTTTTACAATTCAAGGCATTGCATATAAACTAAATCACTTTCCCTACTCAAATCGAGTACAAAAACAGCCCACACCCATACCATATCTACCACTACAAATCTATTTTTAATGCTTATGGTGATAAATAATTCGTTGGGAGTGAAAGCAAAAAACCTGAAACTTGCAAACTTTTCGGATAAAAACATAGAAAAGCATTAAAAAGGGAAACTGAAAAATGTTACGAACAAAAACCAAAAAAAAAAGGAATTTAGCTTATAAACCTACAAATCCATACAAGCGAAATGTAGAGCATGGAAATGGCATCAACAACACCAACAAAAGTGAAGTTAACAAACAAGCGGAAAAGTGTGAATCTATAATAACCCAAAAAATAAGTGGGACACAAAAGTAAATAGGACATCACTGCTGCACAGAAGGACATACATACATATGTACATATATTTGTACGTGGCAACTGTAGTGGCGAGGATACGATGATGATGGCGAGGACATGGTAACAAGATGGATGTGTGCCACTACGACGATGACAGTCAAATTCAGCACTAAATAGTTATTCACATAAATACATACATATTCACATAAATACATCCATACGTACGGGTATAGATAAATGCACACAACATGAGCATATTAGCGCTCATTATGCAGTGAAAGCACATCCCACAAGCTTTTCAACAAAAGAGAAAAACAACAACAACAACAGATAATAAATAAATCCTTAAACGCTTCAACGAGAATAAATTTTGCAGCCAAAGTTACTACGCCGGCAACCACGTATGGTTGTATGAACAATTTTAAAGTCGTGAAAGCAAAAGTTTTCCCTCAAAAAAATATAAAGTTGGAAATTAAAATGAGCATGTGGTTTTTAAAAATGCGATTCGGTAATTCTGTGTGGTTCTGGTTTGACCATATACATAACTTTTGCACCAGGTAAAGTGTCGAGATTTTTACATTTCGAGACAATGAAACATTCCCGTAAGCTCCCCAATTTTTCTTTACAAAAAATTATATAAAACTTTTCCAGTGAACTATAAGGTCTGAAATTAGTTAAAAAATCAAGAAACATTACAAGCTCAAAGGGTGGAGAAAAGTAAAAAAAAATATACACAAATATGTATATCTTTTTTCTTTACTCTAATTTTCTCAAGGAGGTTTTAAAATTTATCTGACCTTTAAACACAAATTTTTTCTAAGTGTCAAGTGTAAAGTGAAATGTTCGATAACCTTTTAAATAAAAACCTGTAATTTTTTAAGCGACAAACCGATTTTAACGAAACTCTATCTGACTTAAGAAAAGCGAAATATCCCAGCGTTTTGTTAAAATCGGTTCATCGCTTAAAAAATTACATGTTTTTGTTTAAAGAGTTATCGACCATTTCACTTGACAAAAGCTTCGGTAATAAACAGTGAGCCACACTGGAGAAGTGAAACTTACGTTACATATATATTTTGTCTCATAACCAATATACATACGTACATACATACATATGTACATCTGCTTTTGCTTAACGCTATATTTTTTGTCTTTTTTCTATCTAGATCCCTCTAACCCTGTTCGTTCTAATTACATTTATGTTATTATGTTTTCCTTTATCTTCGTTTTTATCTTTATATCGATAATAAAACGATAGTAACATCCAACAAAATATCGTTAACAAAACCGATAAAAATCTCGATAACAAAACCGAATCGATAAAAATTTCGATAGCAAAATCGATAATAATATTGGTAACAAAATTGATAAAAATATCGATAACAAAATCAATAAATTTACAACAAAATCGATCACAAGAATCGCTTAGAAATCGATTAAAAAATCAATAAGTAATCGATAACCAAATCGACAAATAATCGATAAAAAATCGATAAATATCCGATAAATAATCGATAGCAAAATCTATAACAGTATCGATAACAAAATCGATAAAAATATCGATAACAAAATTCATAAAAATATCGATTTATGTATCGAAAACTTCTGAAGATATCGATAGCAAAATCGGTAATATCGATAAAAATTTCGATAACAAAACCGACAAAAAATGTCGATTGTTATCTCGATAAGTCCAGAGAATCTCGAAAATCTCTAAAATCCCAAAATTCTTCACAGATTTAGTTTCAGGGTCTCCATCTGTATCCTTTTCTCTATAATTACCTTTATTTTAATCTTTCTTCCTCTATCTTCATCTTCACTTTTACGGGTATCCTCATCCTCATCTTTTTCTTTAAATTTATCTTTGTTTTTACTTTTACTGTTTATCGTTTTCTTCTTCTAGATATTCCCCTTCACCTCTTATATAACTAAAATGTTTAAATTTACCCGTACTCACCATTACTTTCATTCTTGTATTGGTCTTTTTCTAAGTGTTATTCTTTTTAACCTTTTTTTTAGCAAATTTTTGTTAAATTAATACCATGTGCATACACTCAAGAAGCACTTGTTTCAACCACAACCATTTCCGTTGCACCATTTCCGTTGAATTTGCCAATTTAATCCCAACCAACCAACCGCCGCTAAAGAAGTTTNTTATCAAGTTTTTGTTAAATTAATACCATGTGCATACACTCAAGAAGCACTTGTTTCAACCACAACCATTTCCGTTGCACCATTTCCGTTGAATTTGCCAATTTAATCCCAACCAACCAACCGCCGCTAAAGAAGTTTCACTTCAAAAAAATAAATCTAACGGATAAACGGAATCGTTTTTTCTGCATTGCGACAACAAATGAAGACATACATTTTTTTTGTGCTGATTTCACGAGTTCTAACCCTATATCGATGGCTGAGTGGAAGATCAGCCTATCTCGGCAGCCGGTTCAAAAATGCTCTACCTCAGAAAACTTTTCAAGAACGCCCTAATTCCGAATTTGGTTGAAGAACGCCCTATCTCAGAATTTGGTTCAAAAAGTCCCTATCTCAATTGAAAATATGTTAATATAGAGCATTTTTGACTCGAATTCTGAAATAGCGCGTTCTTCAATCAAATACTGACAGGGCTTTCTTGAACAGTTTTCTCAGGTCGGGCGTTTTTGTGAAAGTGTGAAACACTTATAGTATAGTAAAAAAACTGCGGAAATTCTACTATTTAAAATGTGTTACAAAATACAAAAAACGCACAAAAAATTATATATTTTAGGATATCATAGTCATAATATCCATGAACTAAATTACTGCACACGCTTCCTTTCAGCCGATGCTTCAGCATTTCTTGTTCTTCTTATCCTTCTTAGCGTTGTTCTTCGCATAATCTATGCCCTTTTTGATATTCTTCTTCAACGTTTCCATAGCCTTGCAAACCATATCCTCCTCATCCTTATCCAACTTTGGCAAACCCAGATTCTTCTCAATACCATTTTTACCGAATTGTAAAGGCGTCGAGAAGTACGCACAATCAGTTACATCCGAAGCTACAAACGAGCACTGCACTGGCTGGCAATCGCCTTTTAGACCTTGCAGCAGCGTGTTCGTAAATACCTCAGCCGCATGAGCCATCGAAAGCGTAGCCGAAGTGCCACCGTCCTGCGACTTGGCCGTAATTACATCGGCACCAGCTTCCTGTATTTGTTTGATCAACTTGGCGCGTTGCTCCTTATCCAGCTTCAGTGGCGGCTTGCATTGCGCGATTACAGGAATTATTGTTTCACCCGAATGACCGCCAATTACTGGTATGTTAACTTTGCACGGTTCAACATCTAATATTTGGCCAATGAATGTGCGTGCACGCACCTCATCGAGCGTGGTTATGCCGAATAGGCGTTTGGGATCGAAAGAATTTTTCTATAATGCAATGGAAGACACGAGAAAACGAGTTAATAGAGATACAAATGAGGCATTTTGAAAACTAAACACACCTGCTTGAGGATTTCCGCTGCCGCTGGTACGCACGAGTTAACGGGATTTGTGATAATGCCAAACAAAGCTTTTGGACAATGTTCACCGACTGCGGCAGCAATTTCCAATACAATGTCTATGTTTTTCATGAATAGGTCATCGCGTGTCATATCCGGTTTGCGTGGGAAGCCAGCCGAGAGGATGACGACATCGGCATCTTTTTGAGTAAAGTTAGCGAAAAGAGAGATTAAAGAAAATGCAAAACTTCTCATAGAACTCACTCTCCAAAGCCGGTGGTAAATTTTCTCGACACTGAAATCCCTCCAAGCAAGCTTTTGTATCGATGTGCGACAGATCGGTATGCACGCCCGGTGTCTTAGCCAGATCGTAAAGGGCCAATGTGGATATTAATTCATGACGTTTCAAAAGCAGTGCCAAGGGTTGTCCAATACCACCACAGCAACCAATCAGAGTTACTTTGAAGTCATTCTATTTTGTAATGGAATAAAGAAACTATGATCCAATAATATGGTTACCAATTTTACATTTTACCTTTTTTTTAGTTGAGAAGTTACGCAAAAGCCGGACGAAACGACCAAGTCTTGAATAGCTTAACATTTGTATAGCGCGAGTGGTAATTTTATATTTTTCTTATAATGATCGATTTCGAAAGAAATATTTATGAAATTTGTTCTTTAACAGAAATTTAAGAATTTGGAAATTATATAGTGACATTTTTTAGAAATTTTGAATTTGGGTAGGTTCAGAAGGCGCAGAAGTTGAGCGCAACCGTTGCTAAAAAAATCAGTGATAATAATACGCCTTCTGAACGGCTTGATACATTAGCTGTCAAATTCAAAAAACACAACATGTTGTCTCAAATGATCATAAAAATATTACGATTATCTAACACTCAACTGTTCAGTTGATCAGAAGTGCAAAAGGGTGGGCTTTAGATTGCTAACCCCGGAGTTCAGCATTAAGGAAAATATGGGAGGTAGATGGGGGTCTAATAGTTCCCTGTATGAAGTTTCAAAGCGCGCAACTTTATAGTTTTTAAGTAATTTGTTATTAAAGTTTGTAATTTTCACCAACTTGTATTGGACTATTTCACAATATATAATGCACTTTCCACTAAATTTACACGTTATTTACACTCAATACATGCGCAGTTAGATTGTGCACGTTCAAACAAATAAATACTTTTAGTATATTACAGCTTTTNGTGCAAAACAACGCGTTCAGAAGGTGCAATCGCAACAATTACTGAGCAGTTGCGCCTTCTGAGCGTGCCCTTTGTATCCAACAGTGAACAGGTTCTCGGTTCATCAGGTTCTCGGACATACATAGCAGAAGAAAACGAGACAGCCGATGATGTGATAGGGATAGTGATCATAATACAATACATGAATACAGATATGTAAATACACTACAACCGTCACAACTAACTAGTGGATCGAACGAAATGATTCTCATGATCATTAGGTTATTTTGACTGCGGTTAGATAGAAAAAAGACAGAAACAGAACATCGTTTAAAGCTTAACAGATCTGCAGTAAGAGTTGTTACCGGTACACAGTGGTCGGAGAGGCTATGTTTGCGTGAATTATTAGAAGAACTGTTACGATTTTAATAAAACTGTGGGATCATAGTGTTATTGTCATCCCAAATCTGAATATGCCATTAAATTTATAGTGTATAGTTGACATTTCTTTAAAAATAAAAAATAGTTTTGAAAATGCTTCTGATTCGGGTTTTATATACGCCAGTCACGCATTGTATGCTAAATTAAAACTTTGACAGTTGGCAGGCCTTTTTCTAAACATAATGTGGCGAACACGCGAAGTATTCAAAACGAACAACGAGATTAATTGCCTTAGCAAGTATTGTAAAATTTTTTAATTTCCTTAATAAGTATTTTGAAGTATTTGTTGTACAATTAAGTTATTTTCACCGTAATTTGAGTGTTTATTTAACAAACCAGTAAAACGAATCCGAAAGATTTGAGAAATCGACGTGGCTTCAAGGATAATCGTAACAACAAAAGTAGAGAACAGGGCGGCGAATTCATATCTCAGTTCGGCTTGGTAGAGCTACTGATCTTGGATTCTACATATCATGGTGAAATAATAACAAGGTGTTGTCAGTAGCGACGTGTTTGTTGTAATTTTGACAAGATCGGCATGCTTATTTTCAGTGCTGCCGATCTTAATTTTTATAATGCTATTAGTTGGGAAATTGTATTTAAAATACTCCATTTTAGTATTTCATTTTATCGTGATTTTTAAAGAACTTGGTGTTTTCAGAACGATTTTAATATTTAAAATTGCTGGATTTGTATAATTTTTGTCCTCAAAATATAAAATATAAAAGATATCGTAGATATCAATGGAAAAAGACGTACACAAAAATCGTATGGAATGGCTATTTTTTTATATTAAATATCTTTTGCTGCATTGTCATAATATCGAGCCAAATGGACTACTGATACACTAGAATAGAGCGGCAGCATGGTTAAATTACGACTTCGCTTATATTATCGATATTTATGTGTTTTAATCTATATGTCAGCCGCTGTGGCGTAGTGGCAAGCAGTGCGCGCTCCACTCCGCAGCACCTGGGTTCAAACCCTGGTCAAAGCAACATCGCAAAAAATATAGAAAAAAGGTTTTTTCTTAACAGCGGTCGTCCCTCGGCAGGAAATGGCAAACCTCCGAGTGTATTACTGCCATGAAAAACAGCTTCTCATAAAAATGCAATCGCCGTTCGGAGTCGGCGTAAAACTGTAGGTCCCTCCGCTTTGTGTGACAACATCAAGGCGCACGCCACAAGTCGGAGGAGAAGCTCGGCCAAACGCTAACATATATGTAAGCGCCAATCTATTATTATTATTACTAATCTATTTAAAAAATCATTTACAGTTTTATAGGAAATTGCCTTATTTTACGGCCTGTACTTTTTTATAAGTTACAATATATGTGCAACCTGTGTGGAGCATACGATACAAACATATATTCAGGCTTATAGGCCTGTAATTAAACATTTTTCTACATTTAATTTGAAATAGTACGCATGAACGGATTAAAAGTAGTAAATAATTAGTTCTTTTTCTACTACTTTAAAATGCGTGACCGGAATAGACCTGCCGAAAAAGTGAGGTTAAGTTACTGACAACACCTTGTTATTATTACACCATGCTACATATACATATCACTTTTCAATTCTTTCAGTTTTTTTGCTTTGCAAAATAAATGATTTATTAAAAAATGTTATTATAGGTAAGGCAGGGGCGCACCCAGGAATATATTTTAGGGGGGGTTTTATATTTCTGAAGATATATCACCGGGAAATACTGAAAATTTTCTCCAGATAATACGCTCTTTAAAATATATTTATGCAAGTTTTATGTACAGTATGTAATAAATAAATAAACGTTTTAAAATTCATAAACTGCACTTTATTTACATAAGATTAACAGAACTCAAACACTTTTAACCGACTTTAAAAGAAGGGGAGGTTATCAATTCGCCGGAATACGTAACTTTGGACCACGTGAACCGATTTCAATAATCATTTTTTTGTAGAAAGATGGTACCCCAAGGTTCGTCCCGTAATTTGGTTTAGAGATCCGATGATTGGATCATGAAGAAATTAACGGTACCCCTAAATTTGAATATAAGAAGCCCGTTGTGTTCTTTCCTTAAAAACTACTGGTTTAATAAAAAGTGCTATAAACTCAAGATGCGCTCAACTTTCAAAAGTACCTAAGAAAAAATTTTAAATAAGACTCAGTAAAAATAAATTTATTGATTCCATGAATTTTTGCACTTTTATGTTCCTTTTTTCGATTTCTGGTTTCTGGCTTTCGATAGAGATGGTGATTTTTCACGATTTCTAATTTTTTTTAATATTTCGAATACCGAAAAAATTAACTGAACTCTCAAGAAAAACCAAAAATTCATATAAAACGACGGACGAGAAATGAAAAAAAATTTTCTTCTACCAAAATTTCTTAAATCAGTTTGCAGCTCTCAAGAAAAAAATGCTCGTATATTCATTTCCTCATGAAAATTTACAGCAAAAGCAAAGCGCTTTTTCAAGCAACAGAAATTATAATAAATATTTCTTATAATTTCCTTGAGAGCTGGATTCTTAGCTTTAAGATACAGTTTGTATTTGAGGTTATTAGCTTTAGGGGGGGTTTGAACCCCAAAACCCACCCCTTGTGTGCGCTAATGAGGTAAGGTAAAAAGAGAGAATTAATAAAATTTTTAAGCAAAAAACAAAATCGACTTTAATTCTAATATGTATAAAAATTTAAGAATACTGTTAAGGATCCAATGATCGGATCTAAATAAAGTTATTATGGTATAATCTCTGAGGTACCACTAAAGAATTGTAGAAATCGGTTAACGTGGTCCGAAGCTATGCGGCAACATACAAAAAAAAGTATTGCGACGAATTGATAACTTCCTTCTTTTTTGAAGTCGGTTAAAAAAATTAAAGAAAAAGATTTTGGTTTTGTTTTTTTGTGGCAATACTGTAAACAGAGGATAAAAGAAATGTCAACGAAACCACTACCACTCGGTGCGAACAACCTTCAGCCCACAATCCAAAAAATTAATTTTTAAAGTGTTTTGGTTGTCTGTCCGAACATGGTGTTATAGGTTTCCCGCAAAACGAAAAAAAATCATTAGAAAAATTTGAAATGTTGTAAAAAAGTCTCAGCAAAATTACGTTTTTCTTTTAGTTTTTAGAAAAATTTAAGTATACAGTTTTACAACATATTTAATTTTAGCATAATAAGCGAAAGTTCCCGCGTTTTAATATTTTTTTTTTTTGTTTGCGACGCTATTCATTTTCTTTCCCATACGTTAACTGTGCTCTCACAAGAGGCAACGGTTGAAGTATCCAAGTCATTTTGTTTCGATCGTTGCCTCGTGCGTGGCACTGTTGCTCGTTGAAATTCGTATTGCCGCAGCCGTCGCCCGAAAACTCAAAATATTTTGATAGTTTGCGTAGGTTTCCTCGAGTTTATCGTTAGGCATTGACAAAACGGTTTAAGCTTAAAAAATTTGCATAAAAATATTTACAAAAAAAAAAAAACATTTTTAAAGAAATTGTAATAATGAGATTTTTGATGCTGTTTTTAACTTCACAGATTGGTATTTGAAAAAAAAAAGTTGGGACACGAATGACTTCTTTTTTGGACAGAAATAAAAACCTTTCTATGAGATCATAGTCTAAATCATAATAGTTCTGGCCCAGTTATTCAAGTAAAATCAATCTTTGAAAAAAAGTAAAAAAAAAAACATCAAAATCTCATTCTTATGATTCCGACGAAAAGATTTTTAAATATTTTAATGCAGATTTTTTAGCTTAATAATTAGCTTAATAATTAAGAAACTATTTTTATTCATAACAAAACTCCATTTTTGGAGGTATTTTCAAATCGGTCCAGCTCACGTAAATCTTAATATTTTTCCGAAATATTTTTGTGGACTTCTTAAACTATAATAAATTTTGTAATCCGGGCTGAAAACCGCAACTTTTTTGGTGATGCAGTCCAATATACATACATATGTAAGTCTAAAATTGGAAATTTCCCACACTTATCG